GAAACCTTTTAATATACAAAATAGAATGCCCTTTACCATCAAAAATCATACGAGGAAAGAAACATTAGACACAGAATTAGCTAAGAATAACTGCTACATCTTTCTACACCTGTGACAAAGTCACAAACATCACTGGAATAAGTCAACAATGGAGCCTCAATCAAAGCATATTTTAGATTCGAATGCTTGATCATTCTCTTCAGTCAATCTAAAATGCATATCAGTTTTAGTCAGAGCAAATAAGAGTGCAGCTCTCTTGAAGAAGTTGGTCTCGATAATATGAAGCAAAGTTTAGCAAGACATATTTTCTTCCATTTTAGTCACAGAATACTTAATTAGTGGTTCTTTGGAAGATCAGTAGACACCCTGACCCAGAAACTCCATACTTGTAATGATAAGCACGTTTCACACCTCTTTCTTTATCTGCCTAAACACCAATCAGAAGTTCTCAGCAGCAAACTGAAATGTGCAACTAAACATTAGCGTGTCACTAATCTAATTGCAAGTCTCCATGTAAACTCCATCAGCACAGAGGTAGATGCAATACAAATTAAGTCTTATATCATGGAATCATACCAGTCACCTCAGGTACTAGCATAGGTTTTGGGTCTACTTTCTTCGTTCAGTTCAAATGCCGGTAGCATAATGCAGTATTTAACATATTAAAACATCAAGCTTCTCCCAATACAATCGGTTTGTACACAGTAATGTGAATATTTTAATGCATGTGACCATGCTGACCAACCTAAAATCAACAAAGCATTTTGGCATCCTCTCCTTCCCCTTCATTATCACCTCTGGAGATGGTCAAGCAATCTCCCAAGGTAGTATTTTCCCTTTAAAGATTCACTCTATTTTGGTTCTGGCAATATCTTTAGTACTCCAAGGCAGCTTGCACAACGGTTATTCTTCCAGATGCATGCCATCTGTTTATGTGAAGATGAGTAACTTTTGTTCAATCCAGGCAGCCATCTGGTCAAACAAATGCATTGGTAAACTCCACCAAACACTCAACGATCTCCTGTCATTGTTCTACACTGACGTTTTCTGTACAATCCTTGACCTCAGGTGTTCTGAAAACTATGTCTATGCAGTGTGACAAGCTATACTAGCTATGCACCTAGTTTCAGACAATTCTGCTTCAATCATCTGCTGATAAGCTTTCCAGGTAATAGATGAATACCCATTTTTCCATAATTACAAACCATAAGTGGAAGAAGATTCCGCTTGAACAGATAATTGTTTGGATAAGCCCATCTTGTTTTCAGAACAGAAAACATGTTTCATATATTGATCCCATCACCACAGCAGATGATAGTGATGAATTAGACCTAATTTGTAGTACACCACAAAATATCACTGCATATGTAAACGTCTATGACTTTCTCTTCTGCATATATTCATGCAGACCACTCTTTCTGGATTCTGACTGGTTTACACTAAATAGTTTTACTCCAAAGCTGCAGCTCACCTGTAACATAAGCCATGTTGCCTGATAATTTTTCAAGTAGTCCATCTATAATGTAATATGGTTAAACCAAGGCCTGTGACAACGACTTTTGCTCTAAGAGAAACTGTGTTAATAGGAAGATGGAGCTATATTTATCTTGCTTAACTTCATTAACCAGGATGAAGATAGAATTAGCTAGCTGAAGTGGTGGTTTTGGAAACAATTTAGCTGCTGTGTCTACCTAGGTTGATTGCTGAATCCAATCTAAGCTGTACTACTTTATGCTAGCCAAAACAGTGACAACCACTCTCACTAGGGCATTTCCTGTTACTACCTGGAAGTTGGCTAAAAAGAAATCTGGTGTTTCTCTTGTTGCACAAAATAATATGAATAATTAATTCTGAATTCAACCAGTTTGCAATTAAATCAAACACATTAAGATCCAGGGCATTATCTGTAGGGATCTAACTGCAGCTATGATAACAAGCTTTGGAAAATCAAAAGGTACAATACATCTCTACCCTCCCAACACAAAGTAAGTTTTTGAAGTGCAGAAAAACCATAGATAAAATAAATGTTAAATGATAGTTATGCAAAAGTAACTAAAGATCTAAGTGATAAATTGACAGAAGTAACAAATGCTAAGTGTATACCTCTTGATATTAAATGTAAATTAATACCTTCCAATTTGTATGCTCCCAGTCTATATGCTTTAGCTGAATTGCATACTGTTAATATGTTTTTTAGATCTATTGTTTCTAGCATTGACAGCCCTACTCCTGGCTACAAGTTAGCTAAATATTTATCTAACTGTCTATGTTATCTTCATGAAATGAATTAAATATACAGGCAAAATTCAACCGATTCTGTCACTAAATTAAAAGACAAAAATTTAGATAATATCAAAATGGTTTTGTTTGATATTAAACCATTTATTCTCCCAACTACCATTTTTAGAAGCAATGAATTGTTTTAAAAGGTGAGTAACACAACAAAATGCTTCACCTGGTGATATTATAAAAAATTGTTCTTAAGTTGCATTATGTGCAACTAGTACATATTTTCAACTTAAGGGCCAGATTTTGAAGAAAACAACTGGGTTGAGAATAGGGAGTCTGTGATCTCCAATATCATCTGATATTTATGGATTTTTTTTTGCAGAAGACATGTTTGTAAAAACTCCCATTATTTAAGGAGGTTATCATCACATTGATGATACACTCATATTCGTAAGAGTGATAATGCAATTAAACTGTTTCTGAATCATGATAATAGCATTAATTTAGCTATATAATATACTAGATTGTGACCGACCAAAATAAGAAGGTGCCAGAAAAAAAAAGAGACTCAAATTGTCTTCTCTTTGATTCTATTCTTCCTCAGAAACATTGTCAGGTTGAAAATGAGAAGAAATCGCTGGCCAAAGATATGACTAGCTCTCTACAAATTAAGGCCTGTATCTCCTCTGCAGATAAAGTCAAACCGAAGTTCTGTGAAGTAATACCAGTAGCGCTGTCGACTGTAACAGGAACTTCTGTATTTGATACATTGAACCTCGATTTCATATGAAATTCCCTTAGAATTTGGGAACAAAAAACGAAACCAGAAAAAACAATTGGGTTAAATTTGAACTGAATGTATACAGGGTTGTTCTATTGGGCTGACCACACATTGAAGAAGTAATGTTGTAGGAATAATTTTGAATTTACTAAATGTATCTACATAAAATATGACAAGATTTCAGTAAAATGTACAATCCTGTGATATATAAAAAATCATGTGTTACAGAAGTAGTTGCACTTGAGATATGTCTGTGAATTGACAACATTAGTATGATTCACACAAGCTGGAGTGCAAAGTGATGTCCATACAAAGAATAAAAATACTTTTGTCTATTATATAGTTCACATGTTGCATTTGCATAACCTCTAGGACCTATGAAATGTATATCTACAATCTTTTTTCAGTATCCTTGTATATTGTATCAAGTACTTACTTTCCTCTAAGGCAAAGTGTCACTAAATCAGCCAGGTAAGGTAAAATGAATAACTGATAACTCTGACATCAAATACATAATACAAAGATGAATGATACTCTGTAAAAAGTCATGGCATGCACACTTTAACCCTCACCTGTGCACATAAGATTAAATAATTTAAGATGTACATTAAAGATACACATTTATAAAAAAACTTGATACTGTAATTCTTAATTATTCAAATTACTTATTGTGCAAGATTGAAAATAATGTTGTAGCTTGGTGTGAGAAATTTAGTGCTACCTAATAAATTAAAATTTTGTAGGTTTTATATTCTACATTTTTGCAGCAACTTCCTAAACAACTTATTTGGTTGGAGATGGGGTGGTGAATTCCTTTAGATAAAACAATACAGTTTAGCACTGAATTAATTGATAACAATTCAACTGAACTGCATGTGTCCAAAATCTGTATTTTTTTTAAATAGTGAATGTTTCTATCAAAAAATCTCACTTTTTGTTCAGTGGTAATCTTTATGACAAGTTTGATGGTGTGACTCTGAGCTTTGGATTGTCTCCTTCTTTAGGAAATCTTTTTCATTGTTTTCATGTAAGACTGCATGTGGAAGAATTTAATACTTTTAAGCCAGTATTATTATAGAAGGTATTAATAACACTTTTACTACATTCTAATATTCTGATCATGTTCATCAATTCTTGAAGTATCAGAAGTGATAACCATAAAAAGCTAAAAAACACAGAATATTTGTCAAGGCTGAATGCCAAGGTAAAAAAACAACAACATTAGGCCTGGAGTCTAGGGCTCCAGAAGTTGAAGAACTTTAGACTCACTGTGGTGCATTCTCAGTTTTTCCTGGCTCCAAATCTAATTCTTTATTAACCAATTTCTATTCACGTTATCATTATTTTCCAGGTATTTTTTTTCCTCAATGGAGTTATACATGCCTCAGAAATTACCTTTGGCAGCCCATGAAACTTCAAAGTCTGCAAATACATTGGAAATTATCATACCTGTAGTATATAAACAGTAAGAATAATAGTTTTTGAATTTACCATAGAACATTTGCAAGATCACAACCTTGTTTTTGTTTTATATACTGATTTATAATTGTGATAACGTTTCAATGTGAAGTTTGCAATAAAATAACATTTACTGACTTGTATTATAGCTCTGAATTCTATCTATTAGAAGTTTTATTTAAGAAAATTTAAATAATATTTTAAATCATGTGCACATAAAATCTCAATTACTTTTGAATTTTTACATAAAGAATTTAACAATATTAAGGAAGGATAACGTAATAATGATTTTCCTATCTCCTTGGTAAATAAAATACTACGGCATTATTTGAATAAACAAAACTAGAGAAAACCACTACTGTATCAAGTTTCCAAATATTCAGTATCAATAGATTTGTTTGATATTGAGAGATATTGTTTTGTATGTCAAAAGCAGCAGTGCCCTCCTACACAGAAAATACCTGTACATGTAATTTAAAGCTAGGACATCACATGCAAAATGACTTTAGATATAAAGATAAAATACAACCAGTGATGACATAAAATATGATTTATTTATTTATTTGCTTATTTTTGTTGTCAACAAAGATGTATTAGATCAACCACAAGTTCCCTGCATAACATGCAAATTTAAAACAATGGACAGACTAAGTGTATTGAAACATATCTTAACTAAATATTACATTTTTCCATTCCAATTCTTTTAAAATCTTAAGACCAGTGCCTCCTTATGAAAAAAATAATAATAAAGCTTATCTATTTGTAAGCAAAGACTGCAACTTAACCAAGTAAATTCAGCATATAATTTTCTGCTTAAGTTGGAGACTATTGTATTTATAATTAAATATATATATACATAATTCAAACTTTACCCAAGGACAAATATTAGCTGAAGACAATGTTTACTGATGGTAAGTAAAATTTCCATACACTTCTTTGTTGATCTATTTAATTTTTACATCTAAGATGTTCAAGTTCAGGTCAAGTGATGATAATCCAAAGTTTGGTAATGAAAGTCCAAAAACTCCTGGAACTTTGATTTAGTTTTATTCATAAAAGTCAAATTCATCACAGTCCTCATTGTTAAGATTAACTGCACTTTTACTAGCTGGTAACTCAACATCAGAGTCAGAATCTACACCAATACTGAGTACTGTAAGAGATGGAACAGAAAATTATCAACAAGCATTTGAGTTTATTTATCCAAAACTATCACATAATACATCTAATGTTCTGATAATGATCAACTTTTCAGTGTATACCTTCATAAAGTATACAAAGTAGCATTTGAAAATAAATAATGGCTACTTATAAACACATATTTATAGATATATATATACATATATCTATATATTCAAAGTTATAATTTTCCTGCACAAAAATGTATTTTGGATAGGTACTTCCCTCTTCTCAAAAGATTACCTTTTCCCATTTTGTGCTGCCTTCTATATGTGAACGTTTTTCAAAATGCATGCCACAAGCCTTCCATGTCTTTTGTTGGAATCCGAAGTTCCAACATGTCTCTCATGCAAATCATCATGCGCAAACTCTCCATCAATAGGAGAGCACTACTATCATGCAATGCATATGACTCCCTCTATGTGCCACTACCAAACTATCACTTTGAAGTTTGGCAGAAGATGCGAGCATTGGAATATTGTGGGGAGAAAAGGTGGGAAGTGTGAGCGGAGGGAAGTACCTATCGGAAATACATTTTTGTATAAGAAAATATGACTTCCGATATGGTACTTTTCCTCCTCTCACAAGATTAGCTTGAATCCCACATTGAAAAGAAGGAGGGACAGGTGCAAGGGAAGAACAGGCGTATCCTCCAAAAGCATTCAAAGAACACTCCTGGGAATGAGTGAAACAGATCAGACAATCTGAGGAGGGGCACCGCACCGCTTCTGAGCCAGTTATCTCTTCGACCTGAACAGGTGGGATCAAAACATGGCAGAATATGAAGAGAGAACATCCCCGTGGGAGAGGATAGGTCAGTAATGTGATCCTAATCAGAGAAACAGATACACTCTATTACATGTAATGCAAGTGGATAATGGAAGATGTGTCCCAAGGTGTAGAGTGGCTAGGGCGTGCAGGACCGTACTCAGTAAATCAACTACACCCAAAACCTCACTTACTGGGTAGTGATATCCATGTGAGGGTAAGATGAGGATCATACCTTCTTCACCTCAAGCCCTAGAGTTGTGAATGTACATATAATATCAACTCCAGGAAATGTCACAGGATGAGGATTGAGTTACGGACCCGGAATGTGTCATCCGATATCTGAGGGAAGTCCATAGCATGAAATCAACCCACATGACCATGAAACCAGTTTGAAATGTCCACAGGTCTGTAACATCCTCATCATTCTGAAAACAAGGGAATGCCCAGAACAGAAACGGAACACAAAAGACAAAGTCGAGTGGGGAAGATGGACAACCAGAAACCTGTATGAGGACTCATGTGATTGGTTCACTTGATCTATAAAACCTTGCTCACTGGGAACTGACATCCATGCAAGGGCAGGAGGCATGGCACCCAATTGGAGGAGTGAACTGCAGTTACGCATCTCACTCTGGCCATGTGTCACTCATCTGGAGGATCTTGTAACTCTTTCTACACTGGCAAAAACCACTGCCCTACTCTGAACTGAAAGTTTATAGCCATCCTTGTAGAACCCATTCAGCAGGTTGCCTCCATGGTCAACCACCATAGCAGCTTGGAACTGGTAAGTGGTAAGGACTTCTGTACTCCACTGGAAGAAAGGGGGGAGAGAAGTGCATTGGAAAGTCTCTCAGGACTGCTACACCTGAGACAGTGCAATGGGTGATCATGAAACCCTATTTTGAAAATTCACACTCTAGTGTTCTTGTGAAACACCCAATCTCAAGGGTGAGCATGCATAGCCATGAATAAGTGCGTGAATCAAGATGGCATACCGTACGGATATGTGTTTTTGTTTGTTTGAGTATAAATATATCTTAGAACGGTTATAGCAAGCCAATAAGAGGAGGAAATATGCCTTAAGGGAGAGGTGAAACAAGTAACAGGAAGAAATGGGGTAGAAATATGGGCACGGAGGACCGCATTAATGTCCCAGTCTGAAAGTGATGTGGGTCAAAATAACTATGGCAAGAGATAAAACATCACATAACCAAGATATGATCTCCAAGAAAACCAAAGGGCTAAACAGAATCCGCAGGAAGGTGTGGGAAGGCACAGCTAATTCCGGGGGTGGTGGTGGTGGGAGGGTGAAAGATCAAAATTTCATCAGCCTGCACCTGTAAAAGGCTCAAAAAGTATAGGAAGAAGAAGGACATGAACAAGTGACAATGTGCATTCCATATAATTCTCCATCTCCCCATGAACAAAGGCCTAGAAATCCCTAAATGGGTTGTCTGCACCCAAACATGTGGTAACAGAAGAGATACTAAACAGCGAAAAATGCACAGCAAACATAGGTAAATCACACATTCTCATATAAAAGTGAAATTAAATTAAATGAAGTTGAACTAAGTTAAATAAAATTAAACAAATTATAGGGGTATCAGTGATCTAAAGAAAGATATCTGCACTCAAGCACTGCCAAACGAGAAGTGATAGTTTGGTAGTTGCACATAAAGGGAGTCACATAGTTCGTATGATAGTAGTGGTCTCCTATTGGTGGAGAGTTGACATACGATGATTTGCATGAGAGACATGTTGGAACTTTGGATTCCAACAGATGGATGTGGAAGGCTTATGGCATGCATTTTGAAAAAAGTTTGCATCTAGAGGGCAGCACAAAACAGGAAAAGCTAATCTTGTGAGCGGAGGGAAGGTACCATATCGGAAATGTAATTGTAAATTCAAAGAGTGAATATAATAACTTCATTTAATGCTAATAAATGCATGTTACTGAGCTTATGAATGTACCTCTACATGTAAGTCCAGCCTGTCTTAAGCCTACAATAGTGAATACATATCCTATTTTTTTGTTTCTACTGTACAAAAGCTTAGCATTTCTCAAATCACTAAATTAAAAAAAAAAACATCTTAAACTATTAGAAAGGCAAATAAGATATTGAATAAATAAAGAAAGGTACCAAACAATTTGATTGATTAATGATTTGGCTAAGTTATGTACACCTCTAACACATTATATTATTCAGACTGACTGTATGGATGATGTGATTATTGGTACAATGATTAAGCTTTTGTAAGATAGGCCCATGAAACTGTATATAATGTAGAAAAAACAACAGCTGCTAAATATCTTCAAAAGAAAGATTTTGTTGATGAAAGAATATATATATATAATGAAAACAAAAGAACTGTAAAACTATTTAATGGTTGTTTTACAGCACAGCATTTAAGGCCATTTCAACAAATTTGACAGAACAGTGGTATGTGTACTGTTTATTCATTACATTTTTTATAGAATTTGTTATTATATATTTATTTTAACATCACCATTGATTAGATTAAGTTTATATTTTGAAACATGCGTAGCTTATAGTGTTAAATATGTATTGCAAAACTCCCGGCTATTCTCCAAAGTTGTAGAAGATTCTCCAGAATAAGAATCAACAATGTGTGTTTACGTAAACACTTAAATTGTATTGTTACATAATCTGAATTTTCTAGAATATCTTCCCACGCCTATAAATATAACCAACGCGATGCGTCACGAAGGTGGAAAACAGTGTGTGTGTGGCCAAGGAGACAAAGCTAGCTAGCTTCCTGGTGAATCGTACTTACATCAACTCGCTCATCATAAACCCTCAATAAGATATCAAGGAAGTTCCAGACTAG